TATAAGTACCTAATGGACCTATGTGATATGATTAATTTGGAATTTATTATAGGTACCTATTATAGGTCAATTTTTTGTTTAATACCATAGATATGTATATAATATGTCTTAAACATAGACTGACATACCGTCTCCGCTCAGAATCGTTTTTCTTATACAATGATATTATATCGTTGAATTCAAATTTAATATCATCCATTATACAGTGACCCACTTGTAACCTACTGTACAGCAGAGCGACACCCACTTGCCCACCTTTTTGAACTTAAAATGCTTAAAAAAAAACTGTGACAAACGATTTTTAATATTTTTCATCTGTCTTTGAAACAATATAGTAGGAGCCTTGTATTAAATTTTCAAGTATTTTTACTCAACAAATAAATTTTTATTGATATTAATAAAAAAAAAACTAATAAAATTGGAAACTGACAATGTCCCTAAACAGTTCAAAATAAATCAAAATATTTTGAAAATGTTATCGTTTATAGAAAATGCAAATATAAACAACCACTGAAAATTTCATGTATCTACGGTCATTTGTTTTAAAGTTACACCAAAAACCAAAATCGATTTTCTCGAAAACAGATTTTGAGTAAAAATTCCCGTTTTTCCTTAATTTTTCTTTTGTTTTTCCCGGCGCTTTTGAAAACTACTGGGAAATTTAAATTTTGACCTCCCAATGCACTAACGATATTCACATTCCTATCGACAAGATACTAAAGTTAAAAATCGAAGCATTATTTCGACTACTTATCGTGTACACAGCCCCAAAAATATAAAAATAAAAAAATAAAAAAACACACATCATTGTAAAATCAATACATTCATCGTTCCACTCAGAATCTAAAACTATAATAATATATAATCGTTAGTGGAACAAGAAAGGCTAGTATATATATAAAAAACGCCATGGTGAAATTGTTGGATATGGATGAGGTCAATGAAAATTTCAGAAAAATAAAAGCAAGAACAAATTTAATTTAATATAATTTAATATATTTTGATATTATCTATGAAATAAAAATAAATGTTTTAGATTCTGAGTGAAACGATGAATTGATTTTACAATGATGTGTGTTTTTTTATTTTTTTTTTTTGTGTCTGTGTACACGATAAGTAGTCGAAATAATGCTTTGATTTTTGACTTCAGTATCTTGTTCGATTGGAAAGTGAATATCGTTGGCGCATTGGGGAGATCAAAATTTAAAATTCCCAGTAGTTTTCAAAAGCGCCGGGAAAAACAAAAGAAAAATTAAGGAAAAAACGGGAATTTTTACGCAAAATCTGTTTTCGAGAAAATCGATTTTAGTTTTTGGTGTAACTTTAAAACAAATGACCGTATTTTTAAAAAATAATTAAAAAATTAAAAAATTAAAAACACACATCATTGTAAAATCAATACATTCATCGTTTCACTCAGAATCTAAAACCGATAAATGCGGCTGAAATATTTTATACCGTATACCTATAATGGATTTAATATTTTGGTTAGGAGTCACTAAGTAAAAATGTTGCAATTTATAAAATAGTAGAAATAGTTTGATCTTTGGAAGTACCTACCTAGCTCAAACCTATATTATAGCTTTAAAAATAATATACCAACCGTATTACTGCTCATAATTTATAAATGTTTGAAAAAATAATAATACTTACCTAATTTGTGAATAATGTTTAGTATATAATACTAAAACTTGAAAGCGAATAACTTGTTATTTTACAATATAAATCTAAATAGCTATCTTAATAATCTATATTAACCTACTCGTTACCGCCAACATACCCTTCAATAGATATTTTTAAAAATACTAACATACTATCAATCTATAAATTATACATTAAACAAACACTTATAAAAACAATTCAAATGCAGATACTTAATAATACAGATATAATAGACAGTAGAACAGGTAATAACATAAAATTACCTTATATATCACTATCCAGTACAAAAAGTGCTCCCGATTATATGGTCAAAACTATATTCAACAATTTAGGAAATGATGTAAAGAGTCTAATCAGTCTAATAAAACCAATGTAAAAAATATAATTAACAAAAATCGTATAAAAAATATAATTACTAAAATAGTAAATGACCTAGATGAGAATGTGTGTAAAAATCAATTATTAAAAAGTATCTATGTGTAAATATAAATGATTATCTATCAGTATTGTTTAGTTATAAAATTATAAGATAATGTTATTTAGAGAAGTAAAATACATCATTCTCAATTGTATAAGACACATGACATTTTATTTTATTATATTATATAAGTAATATGTGTAGGAACTCCGTATACCAGAAACGAGCTTGCTCAGTTGGTATACGTATCAGCTCTTATCACTATTATTGTAGTAATTTAACTTTTGTATTATTTTATTGAAATAATGATAATGATTTTGCTGAAATAAATAAATAAATAAATAAATATAGGTCTAAAAATAAAGATGTCTATTCAATATTCCTAAAACAAATCAGTAATTTACCAAAGAAAATAACAAAGAAGCACCTTATAAGTTTACTCTATTATTTTTTGGATAAAAATATTTTTTCAACGTAATAAATATTTTTTAAAAATATCCAGATGAAAGTGCCACAAATGGGTGGCTGCTCTCCTCAAATCATTCACTGTTATAAATAATCTTCTTGTATCATATTTACTTATTGTGCAAATTTTACAGATTGTAAATTTTCTTCTAAAAATAAATATAAAAAAAATATCCAGAATACGCAGTATTAAATACTATAATAAAAATTATTCATAACACCTACTCAAGTATGATAAACTGTTAATATTCAATTGCACATGTACTACCTACTATTAAAAGAAATGTATTCTAGTTATAGAATCTAAAACAAAAACAAAAACTTTTTTATATTAGATTTTGTATGGAGTGGAGAAAGATTTATGGGCTTACAATGATGTTTTTAACATTTTTTCAAGACTATATAGAAGGAGTGTTCCAAAAGTTTCATATAGCCACTCTAAATTTAACACATACTGTGTATTATAAAAAGGTTAGTACTTCTGAAATGTTCAGGTAGTACCTACCTAATTGAACAAACATTGAACTTTGGCTAAAAAACCCAAACAATACCCAAAAACTCATGAGTGTATAAATAAATTAGGGTAAGATTTTCCAGAAAATAATACTCATGAATACTTGACAATTTTACCAATATTAATTTCTTTTGGTCCTACATTTATTGTCAGATTAATTTCCAGTTGTATATTATTAAAATCCAAAAAATCTGGTTGGGGAAAATGATAATGTTAATATATTAATTTATATTAGGGAATTATTTCAATACTTTCGAGTATGTATTTAATTATACATGATACATTTTTACTCGTTTTAATTGTAATTGTACAATTAGGTAACACAACGTTTAGTTGATATTAAATGTCACTGTTCTATTCACAAATATAAATACGAGATAACCTTAAACTAATTATTATTTTCATTCAAATAAAAAAGTAAGATTTTAAAGTTTTATTAATGAAATATGTAAATATATATATGACTGTGCATGCTGAAAAAATAATATTGCATTACCCGATTAAAAATTACCATAAATTCGGTTGATTTTGATATTTTTGATAATGTATTAGCATTGAGTATATATACAATATACACTCAATGGTATTACTGTATTAGCCATGGAGAACTAACTCTCCATAACAACCGTAACTAATCTCATTTAAACTAAACTACCTATTGTTTATTTTGATTATTTATCGCGTATTAACTCGTAGGTATTTCCTACTAGTAATGTATTTTTGTTTAAATTAAATACAAAAACTTGTAAACTGAAATGCATAAATATAATATATATTATACTATTATATTTTTATATCAACGTAAATATTAAAAATTCAATAAAATGAATTGTTTTCATTGTTATAAATTATTATATTACCCACAATATATTATAGTACTGGCTGATCCTGCGAGATATCGCCCGTCGACTTGCCGCTTTTTAAACTTTGTTAAATATAAACTGCACAGATTTTTAACACAGTTATTTGGATTTTTTTTGACCAAACATAAAATACAGGTCTAAAATTATATCCAAGAATAATAATTACTCTTTTATTTTCTGTAACCAATGGCAACAATATATAAATAAATAAATTATTGTTTTTTATGAGTCAACTATATTCAACATATTTTATGTGTTGTAGTGTAAAAGGAACTCTATATGACACTACGGGTATTGCTGAATCTACTGACGAAAATGTTATGAAAGTTGGTCAATAACTGTGGATTGAGTCTATGTCAATTGGTCGTATACAATTGGTCGTGGTAAAATTTGTCGTCTGAAATTGGTCGTTTTGTAAATTGGTCGTTCGGTAAAATAGTCGTAGTATATTTTCGTCGCGAAACGCGAATACTGGTTAAAAACGTTATGTAGGTACAAATTGACAATAATCATTAGGTATAAAACGTTAAATAACAACGTGTACAAATGTACAACTAGCATTATTACAGTTATATTATATTACGATAACAATATTATCGGATGTTCTTAATCTGGAATACAAATAATAATGTTTCGTTTCTTCAATTATAGTGTATAGGTACTGTGTCTACAAATTTCAGTTGACTGTGATTGACGATGTAGTCTAGTGCTAATAATTATTAGCCTAAAAACATTAAGCTGCAACTTAAAACCAAAAACGGTCATGTTAGATTTTGAAATTGGTGCAATGACTGCTTTCAAAAAAGAATTCAGTGATATCAAAATTCGTGGTTGTCATTTTCACTTTGCGCAATCTGTCTGGAGACTGGAGACACATTCAAGAATGTGGTCTATCAAGACAATTTAAAGAAGATTCTACTTTCGCTTTTGAAATAAAAAAATTAAACGCCTTGGCATATGTTCCGGTTGATTATGTTGTTAGATATTTTGAATATTTAGTTGAACTAATTTTTACCGAGAACTGGAATCTGATTTATCGAGATTACTCGACTATTTTGAAGAAACGTGGGTTGGTAAAATGGACAGGAACGGGAAAAGGAAAAATCCAAAATTTTCAATTACAATTTGGAATTGCTATGTTGATGAATATAACCTTCCAAAAACTAATAATTCGGTAGAAGGATGGCATAATAGTTTTTCATCCATATTAAATGCTATTCACCCTAGCATTTGGACATTTATAAGAGCCCTACAAAAAGAAGAAAAACTAAACCGTCTGAAAATGGTCCAATATTGTACTGGAGCAGAAACCCCTAGAAAACGAAAGAAATATAATGACACCGCTGAGAGGATAAATACAATATGTAAAACGTTTAATAATAGAACATTTGATGAATATATATCCGGGATAGCTCATAACTTATAATTATTGTCACATATATTATTTTTACTCATATTATTTTTTAAAACCTATAATTATTGTCACACATATTATTTTTAAAACTTATAATTATTGTCACATATATTATTTTTACTCATGTTATTTTTTAAAACTTATGATTATTGTCACACATATTATTTTTAAAACTTATAATTATTGTCACATACATTAAATTCAAAATTATGACCAAATATTTTTTTTTACATAAAATACATATTATATTGAAAACGATTAATTTACCAAACGACCAATTCACCTAACGACCAATTTACAAAACGACCAATTTCAGACGACAAATTTTACCACGACCAATTTCATACGACCAATTGACTGTACCCCCTGTGGATTTGCATGAGGGTCATCCGATTTAGACTATTGATTTTGTATAGTAAATGTATATTCATTAACTATATCTGATTCTGTACGGCGTAACTAAATTAAACGATAGATTTACCCTGTCTTAAACGCTTAATTAGATATAAGGTATAATAATTGGATATAATTTTAAATCCTTATTTCATATTTTGCAAAAATCATCACTTTAAATATGTAGGTAGGTAAAAAATAATATTGTATAGTTTCCATTCAATGGAGTTTAAGACAGGGTAAATCCACTAGCGTTATTTAATTTGTCACGGACAACGCCTGCAGGATCAGATAGTTAATAATAATTTTAAAGATTATAGTGACATATAAATGTGCAAAATCGATGGCTTTAAGGTACAACTTAAGTAGGTACATTAGAAACCAAATAATTTTTTCGAAAAACATCATATTTTAATGTAATTTTTTGACATCAATATTTATCCTTCAGTAGGTCGCTCGGTTTATGAGTACCTATTATTTAAAATAAAAATTTGTAAAAATTTCCCTTGATTAAACATAATATTTTTTTTTTCAAATTTATTTATTATACATTTAATATTTCCGTAAGTATATAACAAAAAAAGCGGCCAAGTGTGAGTCGGACTCGAATATGAAGGGTTCCGTAGCAGCAAGTAACATAAATAATAAGTCGTTTCGTTTGGCCGGCACGAACTTTGGCCCCACCACCAGGTCCAGCATAAGTCTTATACCAAGTCTCAGTCCATTATGGAATTATAACCCATCTTAGTCTATCTTAGCCCGTGATTGAGATTACATTTTTAAATATATACATGACAAAATAGATATATATTATAAATATATTACTATTATTATTATTATTTACTTATTAAAAAAAAACTACTTACTAGATCTCGTTCAAACCGATTTTCGGTGGAAGTTTGCATGGTAATGTACATCATATATTTTTTTTAGTTTTATCATTATCTTATTTTAGAAGTTAAAGAGGGGGACACACATTTTACCACTTCAGAAGTGTCTCTCTCGCAAATTATTCAACTTAAAAAAAAATGATATTAGAAACCTCAATATCATTTTTGTAGACCTATTCATAGATACCCACACGTATGGGTTGGATAAAAAAACATTTTTTAGTTTCAGTTCTAAGTATGGGAAACCCCTCAAAATGTATTTATTTTTTCTATTTTTTTGTGAAAATCTTAATGTGGTTCAAAGAATACATCTACTTACCAAGTTTCAATAGTATAGCTCCCATAGTTTCGGAGAAAAGTTGCTGTGACACCATGACGGACAGACAGACAGACATGACGAATCTTATAAGGGTTCCGTTTTTTGCCACGGAACCCTAAAAAGAATACTAAATGTAATTAATACTTTTAATTTAACATTTGTTTTATTTTTTTACTTATTAGACAAATAAATGATATATTGTTTTAAACTAATTGAAAAATTATTAACATTATTTTTATAATATATAACATATAAATAGAAGCTAGATAAAATCCCACCACATTTATACCAACCTAAATAATATTAAAACATAGTTTAAAATTAGTGGGGTAATACATTTTCATGTATTTATAGTTATTCGTTTTGAATGCCTTCCATTAAATTTTCAATCTTTTTTAACCAACAAATAAAATTATATTGATATTTTTAGAAAAAAAACTAAAAAAAAATGGAAACTGAAAATGTCCCTAATCAGTTCAAAATATTTGGAAAATGTTATGGTGTATAGAAAATGCTAATATAAACATTCAGTCAAAATTTCATGCACCTACGGTAATTTGTTTAAGAGTTGCACCGAAAACCAAAATCAATTTTCTCGAAAACAGATTTGTAGTAAAAATTCCCATTTTTTATTAATTTTTCTTTTCTTTTTCACCACGCTTTTAAAAACTACTGGGAAATTTTTACTTTTGACCGCCTCAAAGTACCAACTAGATTCACTTTTCTATCAGAAAAGATACTGTTGAAGAAAATCTAAGCATTTTTACTGTCCTAAAAGATGATGACAAACACAAAAATAATAAAAAAATCTACAGTTATTCGTTTTTGAATTACAACAAAATAAGAAATTCGGTACATGAGAAATCAAGTGAATATCCAAAGTTGTAAAAATTTGAACTTTACACGCCCATAAAAATTTAATTTGACATTCTTAGACATTTTTTTTTTATTGTTAAATGCAGATTATCTTATAAGGCGAATCTTGTATTAAATTTTAAAATCTTAGATTTAAAAAGAGAAATTTTTATGAATTCTTAACTCAAAATAATTTTCTAATTTTCGTGATTCCTTCATATTTTGTAAATTTTTGAACTTTAAATGCTTATAAAAAAAACTGTGACCAAGGATTTTTAATATTTTTCAAATGTCATTGTAACAATATAATAGGAGCCTTGTATTAAATTTTAAAGTATTTTTACTCAACAAATAAAGTTTTATAGACATTCATAGAAAAAATAACTAATAAAATTTAAAACTGAAAATGTTCCTAGGTAGTTCAAAATAAATCAAAATATTTAAAAAATTTTATCGTGTATAGAAAATGCAAATATAAACGACCAGTGACAATTTCATATTTTAGAGGTATACCAAAAACCAAAATCAATTTTGTAATTACTTATATCGTGTACACAGACATTAAAAATAAAAATAAATAACCACACATCGCTTAGGTACTTCTGTATACATGGTGACTAAGTGACTTATATTTTTTATAAAGTATATTCAGTTCTCAATAAACCTACTTATTTTTGGTACGTCCCCGTGAATAACTTTATATATTGTCAATCGTCTACTGTTAAAATGAATTTCTCATTGTTTGGTTTCATCGTTTGGGCTACAATAAACGTGTAATTCTTTTGAACTTGAAAAGTATCATCCGTTTTATACAACTTGTATTGGGATTGTTCGATGACTTGCTTGGCATTTGTACAACTGCAGTTCGGAGTCGCCTGACGGTTACCGTTGCAACTAATTGTTGTCGTAGTCTATCGTCGAGATGTAGATTGTACTGTTCGTGATTGAAGTTTTACTTAATATGAAAAAAATCGTCCACGCGATACAAAGTTTGCAAACTTTCAATGACGACGGCTCACTTGGCGAGTGCCGTCGTCCAACTGTAAGGAATCACACGACGGTATATATAGTATAAAATATAAATACAGTTTAAACAAATCATAACACTTTTATATAATAATAAATATAACAGCGAGACATAGGTAATTTTTTAATCAGGAACCAATTCCTTGCAAGTTGGCCGTATTTGTATGAAACAAACGGCGATGTAAAAATGTTCGCCTTTTTGACTTACCCACCTTCGACTAGGGAAAATAATATTATTATTATTTTGTGATCGTTTTTGTGTTTAAGGAAAACGTCGTGGAGATCGGGAGGATTGTCGCGGCCACACAACCGCAGATAATTGTCTTCCACCGATGCTGCAGACACACGAGCCCTAAATCGTCCAAAATCTGGAGGTAAATGTTAGATCTCTGTTTTATTTTTAAACTAAAAGTTTATTGTCCAGAATTACTTTTAAGCTTAAGCTTCCTTGGTCCCTAATCGCTTGTGAAAATTTCAAAGCAAATAAATTGTTATTTAGGCTTTTAATTTTGATATATTTTGGCAGCGTAATAATATTGGTTGTTCAACAAGCTTCAATCAGTATGATGTCCACCGGATATCTCGAATATATAAATTTAATGAATAAAAATAATTCTTAATTATTACTGAAAGGTATAACAACAAATAATAAAAACAATATATATTTTTATTTTATTTTTTTATTTTAATTCTAGAATATATAATATGAGCATTGTTGCCAACATGTTTATAGAAGATGATACGGAACCCTTCGTGCGCGAGTCTGACTAGCACTTGGCTGGTTTTTTTTCTAATGTGGTACCTGGATAATCAATAGTCTTAAGAATTGAAAGTTGGTTTTTTTATACTGTTAATTCCGCTTTATTTATGACCTAGTCGAGGCTTACAGCATTTGACCACACAGGTAATAATTATGATTATATAATAAACGTTCTTGATAAAGTATTAGGGTTACTTCATTTGGCATTGTATTCCACGTTTTAATTATTAAACTATTTGTTTTGATAACATATCTTAAAATATTTTCCCGTGAATAATATTTATTAACTGCAATAAAATAACTAAAACTCTTTGTTTAAATATCAAATTTTGTCAACATTTGAACTTTAAATGTTTAAAAAAACGTGCCCTATGTACGTTTAATATTTTTCAACTTCTAGGTATTAATTATAATAACGATTTATCACTAGGAACGTTGTATTGAGTTTTTAAGCTTTTTGACTTACCACCACAACTTTTACAAGGACGCAGAGCTTAGAATATATTAATTTTTTTCGTACCACACACTTTACATTAAGCTTTGAGTTACCGTGGGAGGCTTCCTTTTATGTCGGTATATTTGTAGTACTTTGTACGATTATTAATTATTTTTATACACAATTTTACAGTAAATGCACTGAACTATAATATTCAGATGGTGAATTACGAAATAAAAATCAACGATATACATATCAAAAACTATCCCCATACTAGAATATTACTGACAATCACATGAAATTGATTGATCAATAGTTTTTTTAAAAGCTAAT